GGTTACTTTGAAAGCGCTCGCATTGAGACCAAATCAAAGGGTATTTCAGTGACAATGTTATGTCCCGGACCTGTGGTCTCCCGGATTGCAGAGAATGTATTGACTGACAAAAAGGACAATAAATACGATTCCGAAGAAGGCAATTCAACCAAAAAGATGAGAACTTCCAGATGCGCTCATCTCATGGCTGTAGCCATTGCTAACCATTTAGATGAAGTAATTCACTCTTTTATTAATAAATAATTATTTAATAATTAAAATAATTTCTTATTTTAAAATCTATTATTTTCTAATTGATAGTCATGGATATCACCCCATCCTGTTCTGGCGTTTACTTATTTCATTCAATACTGGCCGACACTCTCCCGAAAGGTTTTTCCACGAATTTATTCACCGGAGAAGTGGAATAAAATGAGGAAATAAAAGCACAATTACTTCATAAATCTATCAGTATTTTAATATTTTCTTTATGTTTGTTAGTATTATTTTGTTTACATTTTTCATAATTTCTTTAAAATACATAACTAATACATGATCTTAATTGAAAAATTATAAAAAGTATTAATAAAAAAATTACTATATTTATTAACATTTATAGTTGTGTTTTATAAGTATTTAATTTTCATAAAGTGAGTATAAAATGTAATTAATGAATAAGTTGTGTGAAAAACATTTGACAACAACCAAAATTTTAAACATTTAGTTGACTTTAATTACAACTTTTCCAGTATTGCGTCCAAATTGCAGGTGCTATAGAGTACAATAAAGTATCATAAAATAGTAACATTTGTATTTTGGATAATATTTAAAAATAAATGCTAATAATTATATAATAATCATTACCTCCACTCCTCTGTATAGTAACATTTGTATTTTGGATAATATTTAAAAATAAATGCTAATAATTATATAATAATCATTACCTCCACTCCTCTGACCACAGAATCAATACCATTGAACTCTCCATCACCTGATTTGATGCCAAAATCCAAAACAATTCTCAATTTGTTGGTCACAACGGCTTCAACCAATTTTGGCAAATATTCAGTAAATAAATGTTTGTAAGCCGACAATATAAACCCAGAAAGTGTCTGATTCTTCATTAAGAGCTTTAAAAAAATAATTTAATTAACAAAATAATTTATAAATTATTATATAAAACATACAGTTGTCGGTAGATTCGGTATATTAGGGTCAGTAATGAAGTTGGATCCCTCGGTCTTATAACCAGTAATTCCGCCCACAATAATAAGTCGACCGCTTTCTGCCAAATGCTTGAATAATGTTTTGTATACCTGTCCACCAATTGTTTCCCAAACAACATCAATACCTTTCTATAGTTTTAAAGAATAAAAATATAAATTTTTGTTTGTAATTCATTTGTAAAATAATACAATAATTTTATAAATAAAAACAAACCGGAAACTCATTGGTGAGCACTTGATCCAAATTCTCGGTCTTATAATTGATCACTCGATCGGTTCCCAACTCTTTCAACAGTTTTGCCTTTTCTGGTGTTGAGGTCAACCCAATAACATAAGCGCCCTTTTGTTTGGCCCATTGGACAGCTATATGTCCAGTTCCTCCAGCAGAGGCTGTTATCAATACTTTCTCCCCTTTCTTAATGCGACCCAACTTTCAAACAAATCATTTTTATTATTAATTTTAAAATGCATTAAAAATTAATAAATACCTCATCCAAACCAATGGTTGCGGTTAACCCACAAATCAGAAGTGATATGAATTCTGGTTTAAGACTTGGAACTGGAATCACTTCATCGGGTTTGGCGTACTATTCAATCAAATTATTAATTTGTATTTGTTTTATAAAAATTAATACCGGTAGTAAGCAAAATACTGACCACATATTCAGAGTAGGCTCTGGGAACTAAAGTAAATACCAACACATTTTGTCCCACTTTATGTGTCTTAACATTCGTGCCAATTGATTCAATCACTCCCAAAGCCTAATTTATTTTGATTATATTAAATTTAAGTAAATAAACTTAAATAAAATGAAATTCACTGAAATCTATGTAAAAACCTCTAATCCGATATCGAAGGGAACCTTTCCATCAGTGAAATAACGAGCGGCCGTTATATTAACGTCAGTGGCGTTAACGCCCGCATAGATCGTCTTCACCAGAATCTCGTCGTCCGAGGGCTTCACCAGAGGGACGCTCACCACTCGGACAGCCTCTCGGAAATTACAGGTCGTCTTGATTACTGACAACTTCTTATAATTTGTGGACATTTTAATTCAATGTACTTCAATCTTCAAAAGTAGATACTTGAATCGAAAATGTTAAGGAAACTACTGTAATGTGATTTCAACACAAATTGTGCGCTCTTTATATATGAGTGGAAATGATGAGGGGAATATCCCTTTCATTGAATGCATACAAACACCGTTTACTTCACTTTGCACTTACGAACTGCACTGACAATCCTTGATTGCATTTAAGTGCTCCAGCACTTGATCTGGCTATTTAATAAAAATACATTTCTATAATACTGTACAGTAATACAATAGTACTGTTGTATAATGAAAACTAGAATGAGGTATACAGATGATTTATTGTAAATTCATGTTTAAAATGTCTTTATACAACCCTATTACCGTAATAACTTTCTGTATATATTATTTAATGACAAATTAAGTTCAAATTTGGAATATCATAAAAGTCAATCCAATAAACTAAAAATTGAAATTTTAAACAAAATCTTATTATTTCCAACATCACTTTTATTTTTATATCATAATTAGTGCACTAAAGTTTAATAAAAATTTTCTAAATATTTACAATATGACACAAACATTTTGAAAAATTATATTCAATGTTTTATTTGAATCATATGTAATTCAATGATTCTTATGACATTAAGAATATATAATTTTATTATTAAAACATAACTTATTTTTCAATGATTTGTCACTAACCTAACACTACTATAATTTGGTCCTATGCCCAAAAGTTTTATTTCATTTTACATACAAAACTTCAAATTAAATTCAAACTTTTGGGAATAGGACCAAACTATACATATTTAAAAATTCATTTAAATTCAACACAAATAGTATAATTTCAATTTAAAAATATACAATTAATTTTTTAATCAATGATACATTTTGAAATAATCATATTTAAAGATTTTTTATTAAGTTAATAATTACAATAAGAATTTCAAATTATTTCAATATAATTAAACTTTGACCCTATTTACTAATTTAAGTTGTTGAAAATATTACCAAAAAATTGATTGTAATACTTTTACGGATTTTGTATTTGAATGACCACTTTTCCCATATTACGTCCAGAAAGCAAGTGCTAGTAAAAAACAAATATCAATTATTATTATTCATAATTCTTTATCGAAAAAATATATAGCTAATAATATTCAATATAATAATCCTTAACACTTAAGATTGTTAATAATTAGTTAATAATAAATAACTAAAATTCATATTATAATTTTAAAAATATAGTTTAACTAACTTTTAAAAAGTGAACTTATAAGAATAAATGTGATTATAGATTTTCAAAAGCTATTATTTGATTTCGGATTTTAGTTCTGATTTGAATAAACATATAAAACATTAATACTACAAATAGTACCAAACATTTACCTCAACCCCTCTGACTACTGAATCAATTCCTACGAATTCTCCTTCACTTGTGTTTTGTCCCAAATCTAACACAACTCGCAGTTTATTGTTCACAACGTTTTCAATCAGTTTCGGTAAATATTTTGGAAATAATTCTCGATTTTTCCAAATGAAAAATCCCGAAAGCATTTGATTTCCTCTTATTAGCTAATTAAATATATTTTTTAAATCTGTTAAATGTTTATTAATGTAAATATAAATCATACTCTGGTTGTAAGATCAGGAATATTAGTCTGCGTGGCCTCCCCTTTATAACTAGAGGTGCTGCCAATGAGTACCATACGACCCTTTGGTGCTAAATGATTGAATAAAGTCTCAAATACTTGTCCACCGATTGTCTCCCAAATCACATCCACTCCTTCCTATAATAAAATATAATAATTTAATTTTTGCATTATTTCATATAAGATAAAATTGATACCGGAAACTCTTTAGTGAGCACTTGATCCAAATTTTCGGTCTTATAATTAACCACTCGATCGGTTCCCAACTCTTTCAACAGTTTTGCCTTTTCTGGGGTTGAGGTCAACCCAATAACATAACATCCCTTTTGTTTAGCCCATTGAACAACCATCATACCGGTGCCACCAGCAGCTGCTGTCACTAATACTTTATCATTCCTCCTAATATAAGCTGCCTTTTGT